GCCTGGCTATAATCTTGGCAACTGACTGACCGTCGTCTGGGGGGAACTTTGTTATTACTGTCACGTGGTACTTTACGCTTCCTCTTCTGTTCAAAGCCAAAGCTATTCCACCGCCGGAATTCCTTGCTGAGCCCTGAAAGGCCAGAAAATGATTTTTATATTTGCCGGTTCAGAATTTTTTTGAAAATAAATGAAGAGAGTATAGCTACCTCTATCGTCTTCAAGAGCATGATTGACGTAAGATGATTCAGTTTTGGACGGCGAAAGTGAAGAGCACAAAGATGAAATTCGTCCTACTTTTAGCTTCACAGTTCCGTAGGCGCGCTACATTTGAAAGAAAAACAATTATATCAATAAAAAACTGCTGTTAAGAAGTAACGAGTTTTATTTTCTCTCCGGTTTCATTTATCTTTTATAGCTTTGTAACATGAGTATGGTACATCTCAAAGATCATCGCTACAACACATAGGAAATTTCTTTGTCATTTTATATCAAGACAAAATTACTCAATACACTGCNTCAGAGGTTTTGGTTGTTGATCAAGCGTTCTTTGAAACTATTTACAACGAAACTGGAAATAGTACGTGGCAAAACCTTAAAATTTTCTCAATTTATGGCATTTCTCTCTTGGAAAAACGTTTTGAAATGTGGAATTTATAAAATTAATTAAATATATCTCAGTTCTACAATAGAGAATAGTTAGTAAGTTAATGATGCTCAGCTTGTCAATCACCTTACCACATAAGTAACGAACACGCCTTTCTTGTCCCTAGAATAATAAGAAAGAAAAGTTTGGTTGATTATTCATCACCTGTGACAGCTGATCAAGAAATGAAGGAGGTTTTTTTATCAGTGATGCTCTCTTCTTCGATTTTTATCGCTGTGAATCAGTTTGTTTCTTTAAGACTTACTTTCTTGCGAGAACGCTGAGTCCTATGTAGTCAGTGATGGGTTTCGCTAATTTGACTTCGAAGACTAATGATGGTTCTAACAGCAAAAAAAGAGATAGCTTTAGATATGAGTATAAATGGTATAATATGGTGTGCAATAGAGTAAATTAAAGAGTCAGCCAGTCGGTCAGTCAGTCAGTCAGTCAGTCAGAGAGTCAGGCAGTCAGGTAGTCAATCAGGAAAACTTCAAGACTCTTTTTGCTTAAATGCACTTTGTGAAATAGCCGCAGTAATTATTTACCTTCAGTTGAAGTGAAAATCTTTTCAGGCTCCTCTCGTAGAATAGTTAGCTTCACGGGAGATGACGCTAGCCTCAGAGCGGAAACCGCATTCTTATGATTCATTTGTCGTAGCCTCTCGCCGTTTACCTTAAGACACAAACAGGAGAAATTTTCTTAAAATAAACATCACGTCTCAGGGCCGTCGCCAGAAAAAAAAATTGACTGAGGCAACGCCCATGTATGGTTAAATTATCTGCCTAGTTATTTAACAGTATTTTACTTTTCCCCTTCAAAACGGAAACCAACAAAAATGAAAAAAAACTTACTGAGGCAAGTGCACTGGTTTGCCTCATACTGGCTACAGCCCGGTGTCTCCACACAATGTGGGTACAGAATCAGTCATCAGAATCTTTGGGGTATTTTAATAAGAACTGTATGGAGGCCTGAAAGCTGAATTTGTATGCTGAATGCATGAATATATACAAAAATATGATTTTGTCTTTTTCCTGGATACCATAATGAATACACAAGAGGTAAATTAACTTACCAAAATGATCTGGTCTCCAACTGCTACTCTCCCGTCCTTAGCCGCCGCGCCTCCTGGCTCAATGACATTTATTACTATCCCTCCCTAGACAGTAAAGTAATGCCAGGTTTGTAAACTCTTTATTATAGTAAGTAAGTAAATCTATATTTTGTCAGGGTAACTCTGTCAGCTCTATGAAAGGAAGCTATCAACAGATAAAAAAAGCTATCAATAACCCCTGCTAAAAATAATAATAATAAAAATTTATAAACCTTACAATATGCTTAAAAATAAAACTACTAAGATTAAAGTTAAAATTTCATATACTTAATAAGAAAATTAAATTTACTTACTTTTAAAACAGTTATAAATTTGGCATCCAGAATAATAAAAAGACTTTTTCGCTGCTTCAGTCCGTACTCTTAGCAAATGCAAAAGGTTACCCTGCCTCGTCAAGACATTACGATTAAAATAAAAGAGATTTTTATAAAACAGAGGCACTTTGCCACAAATGCATCTGAGGACTTTACTGCACACCATATTATATGTTCATATCCTCATTGGTTGAGAGCATATAGCTAATCACTTCAGTTGAAATCATTGCCCTCGGTAGGAATGCTATAAGGACTATGGGGGAGGGGGAGTTGGAGGAGGAGGAGGCGGGGAGTAGAGAAGATGTGACTTTTGGTACTTAAAAAGTCCCCACCCCCACCCCACTGACAAAACGACAACAACAACTAAAAACAAGAAAATGAAAGTAATGCAACACGTTATAAACAAACGATCGGTGGCCTCAAAGAAGCCGAAACATTTTAAAGTTATAATTTCAAACGTTGTCATTGTTAAAACTATGCTTTCAGAAGCATTCCTTTTCCCTGTTCTGTTATTTACTAGAAAATTTTTGCACTATTAAAATCTAAATCTAGTTTAAAATCGAAACTGTTTATATATTACTCTTTTAAATAAGTTCATTAAGTTATTGTCTGAACACAATACTAACTACTTAATAACCG